GGACGGATGATAGATCCACGAAGATCCGATACGCTACTTCCTTTACTGGGATAAGATCGTAGTGACGGAGCATAAAGTACAATTGACAGTCCGTTTATCTGCTACAGACGAACAGCGATAATCACAATTTATATGCAGATTAATGCGCAATAATATTATCATCCGCGACTTACGTTGACAACGAATGTATTATCCAACGTTATACATATGTTATTTGAACTCTGAACTTTAAGTAGACAATTGTAGATCTTTTTGGAGAAAACCTACTTTTGTTAAGAAATTGCGAATAACCTTTAATATAACATTACGAAAAAGAGAGTTATTTAAACTACGATTAAAGTGAAAGGAGCGGCCAAAATACTGTAACTTTTTGGAAAATAGTGTAACAGCTGATCGAAAGTCTTTAACGCTGAATCTGCTAGTCAAACGACCGGTTCCTCATTTTACAATTATAAAAATTATGGGAGCAACTGCTATGATAAAAACCGTGCGAAATCTAAATAAATTGGATCTTCTTATTTTTATGAGGCAATGAACATCAGTATTTTACTGTTCGGTAGATTCAATGTTTAACGTTGCTGCTGTTTCGTAAGCGATGCCAATTTTTACAAAAAGTGCAAAATTATGTTCCTTTTTTTTGTAAAAACCACTAACTTTGAAGCTCTGCGTATTTTTAACAATAACACGGCTATCAAAATTATGTCTATGTAACGACTCGTATGTTCTCTCTCTATCTTTCACATAGATTGCGCCGTGTATCATTTTGAATAATATTGCAATCGTGCATATATCTATGTGTGTACAAGGGTTATCGATTAGACACGACTTAGAATAATCCGCATACGCAGCTGTTTTATTCGTCACTTTTATCAGGCAAGTGGTAATGAAATAGCATATTCCAAGAACGATCTGTGTTCGGATCTGAACAGGCATTACGATATCTTTCAACGCGGTATCAGCCGACCGATCATTATCGAAATTGTCTAGGGTACTTTCGACGTTTGTTATAGAATTATTTCTCGTATGGCCAATTCTAAGAATACATTAGCCAATCGTACCGTCCATCATTTGCTCACAGAGTATTGAATGGTTATGTTAACTGCCCTGAAATCTGTGATCTAATCTGCGAGTATCTCGTGCGTTGTCAAGATACAAGTACGTATCTCTTTACACAGGAATCTCGCCGGACTCTATACGCTTATAATAACCGCATAAATGGAATCATACGCAATGCGAATCAGTATTGTTATAGGCAGGATTATCAGGATTGTATGCATTTATGACAAAAATGAGCAGATCAGATTCAAAACAGTGAAAACGTTTAAGTAGTTTAAATAATATCGCGGATTTTATGCATTTATGACAAAAATAAATGGATCAAATTGAAAAGAAAATGAAAACGTTTAAAGAGTTTAAATAATCCTGCGGATTGTATGTATTTACGACAAAAATAAATGGATCAAATTGAAAACAATGAAAACGTTTAAAGAGTTTAAATAATAGTCATAAATACTTATATAGATGCTATTGTATTGAGTTCAACTCATTAAAATTATTAAAAATCGTCGTAAACATGTGTTAAGATCCTGCAACGTGTATACAATTTTTATTTTGCGTAGATCCGCGATCTAGTAATAGATTAAATTTTGATCGCACGTATCTCGCAGAACTATGGTTAATTCGTATCCTCCTCTTACTTCATGTCAACTAAAGGGCCTTAGACTGTAAATAAATCTATCATTATTATTATTATTATTATTATTATTAATATATTGACTAAGAATATCTTACGATTAAGAGGCGGAATAAATGTCGGAACTCTTCCTGTTTCTTGCTGCCGACGCTCACTTTTATTTTGCATAAAGATCCACGGTCTAACGATCAATTTAGATGAAGAATGATACCGATCGCGATATTTCATGTCCATCGCTCACGCATTCTGCATAATAGCACACACTCGTAAATCCATGTGTATGCAAAGCATATTACGCGAATGTAATCTAGTATCCGATAAATATGTAAATAAATGAATTTTATGCACGCGTATACGTTCGATGGAAATACGTACTATAATAAGCTATGAAACACCATATTGAGAGGAAAAATCAGTGATGTGCTCGGATATTAATGACGCTGTGTTATATTATTCATGTTCAGTCCAGGCACGTGTGCCAGAAAATTCCGGAAGAACGGTGATACCAAGTAATGAACTGTGGGAGATTTTGAGGAGATTACGAAGTCATATAAACAAACATTGACAGAGTTCCAGATCGTGACTCATTTGTGAATCATTCGGGCTGATTGGTAAGCGAAAATTTACAGTACAAGAGAGAGTACTTATCGTGATTATATCTCCACCAACTGTCATTTGAACGCACAAGAGCGACGAAGTATATTATCTTCGTGATTTGAACATTCTTTCATATACATATACATACACGCGCCGCTCCAAAAGTATATAGAGAATGAAATAAATGAAATAAATTTTCAATTAAATTTTTGATTAAATAATAATAAGTAAAAAAATTTTTAATTAAATAAAATTAATGAAATAACTTTAGAAAACCGATAGTTACGAAGCTGTTATAATTTCTTTAAAAAATTGTTACAATTCTTTCAATTTATTTGAAAGTTAATTGTATTAAATAGCAACAAGTACATATATAACGCTAATTTCATAAAAGGAGTTACATTTTCTATTCATCAATATATTCACCGTGTTTTTTAATTACTTCCCGGACTTATATATTTAAAAAACGTATCGAAACTGCAACAAATGCGATACCCAACGAAATGCAATAAATGTGCAAACGAATTGCATAAGCGTCAAAGACTTGTAATTTGATGCGTACTTTCGACAATATGACGCCGTACAACTCGCATGCACAAATTACTGTTTATACTAAAGAAGCAGGTGCTCTAATGCTTTTGGTGGGAGTTGTATGCACCGTTCATTCAGATAATAAACTTCAACTAATCTTGATCAAACTTTGACTAATTCTCTACACACTGTATACGATGTAAAATTTGTTTGTACGTAAATGTTGAATCGCCTGTTGAACGTAAACGTTATATCGCTGATTGTCCGTTAAAAAATGGCTAAAGATAGCGAACTCGAACGATTAGACGTCGAATGTTTGTATCTACGTTTGCGATAAAAAAAAAGGCTAAAACAGATACGCAATTAGAATTTTATCTTTCTGCTAGTTTTATCGAAGCTGCTTTTAAAAGTTCGGAGTTCAAGTAAATAGTATACTGTTTCCGATTAGCCTGGCGATGAAAAATTTCCATAAAAATGCGTAATGCATCGATGATCAATCACATTGGGAATAGCTATTTAAATCTGGACGTGAATAACGTGTTTGCGTCGCTGCTGAGAATAATACTAATTGAATATTCACTGGTTTTCCTACACGGGAACCGAGCCGGCAAGGGTTAACATTGGTTGATGACTTTCCTCGAGATAATCCCAGCTGCAATTCTCTTCCGTTTATGACGTTATGCAACCACGTATCGCAAATAGTGACCCACAAACTACGAATGGGAGAACCGGGCGATCAGCCTAACCCCGTTCATCAAGGTCGTTTGTTAACTTCGAATCATCGACGTCGGTCGAAAGATGCGACAAGAACCCACATGTCGGAGCGAATTGTCCAATCACGATTCGAATTCCACTGCTGACTGGTCGTAATAGAGTAGAGACTCTCTTATCTAAAGGTTTATTGTTGTAATAATGGAATAATGTAATAATAAAAATGTAATAATGGAACCTTTGGACATCAGAATATTGTAAAAATAAATGTTCAGATAAGAAAAACATTACAGTATCTTTGCAACACTTCAGGTCGGATAGCTGCTCACAAATAGATGGTTGATATCTTTATGAAAAATAAAAATTGTCTAAGTAACTCGTAGAAGACACAAGCTGCAAGAAAATGTCTTTTTTCTTTCAACTAGTTAGCTGCTTTTGCGAAATATACTCGTCGTAACACAAAATGTTACTATTTTCTGAAAAAATATTGGCCCTATAGAAAAATGTTTCAGACGAAAGTTGTCCATTGTTTTACGTAAAAAATGACTCTGAAATTACTTTGAAAATGCCTACGCATGGTCATATCTTTCAGATTAAAGTTGCTCAAATTGTAAGAGTCTTTTACAAGTAACAATCGAATAAATTTCTTAATCGAAGCATACAACGTAATAAAAACGGCGAGAGGTTTGATTTAAGTCAATCTTGTCATTTTGATCGAGCTAGTTTGGTGTTGAATAATCTGTTCTCTAGACCCGGATAAAAAATTTGAGAACATTTCTTTTGCCAAGATTTGTCCAGTCGTTGCAATTTTCGCAAACATTGTTGTACTCGTTGTAAATTATCCAGTCCATCGTCACGAGAAAATTCAACTCATCCAGTTCAATTCGAGAGAAGTTATCGCTAGACTGCGGATGTTATACACTGATAGGAAGATTGAGTAGTTGCAATTTAAAATAGTAGAAAGATGAATAGAATTCAAGAAGTTCCAATGCATAATCTTGAATTAATCGAAATCATTACCGAAAGCAAGACCTCGCTATTTAGGTTCCATTCGTTGCAATCGACGCAGACAATTCTTATTTCGCACAAAAACCCGCAATATAGCTATTACCCTTTAAAATGGTATCCGAATATTAACGTCACTGTATTTCGGTACGACAACGTTCCCTGGATCTTCTCCAGCATGATTGCCGAAGCACTCTGTAAAGTGCTCTCCTGTAATTAGAATCCGCAGCTCCTCGAAAATCTTTAGACGGAGCTATTAGCGTCGGATAGGAGATGGCATCCGTGTTTCGGGGTCACCGAAGCGACAAAGATATGCTTGAAGCTTGTCGAACGCGGCTTATGGCTTATAGCTTATGGCTTATGGCCGACGCGGTCGCTCGAGGAGACGGAGATCGGTGGCGAACGAAGGCGTTGCGGATCGCAGACAAACGGGAGACCGATTCGAAGAAGGTCGAGGACTCACCTGTCGTTACATCTCAAGGCCGCGTGGCTCGGGCTCCTCGGAGGCTGAGAAGTATTCGCAGCAGCCGCGGTGAGCTGAGAGCCGCTAATTGACTGCTGACCAGCTTGCTGCCCACCGGGGGCTACTTGAAGAGGCGTGCTGGGCGCCGATCGTGCTCCTATGGACCCCGCAGACCTGCAACAACGAGAATCCGCACACGTTAGCGCGTTCATCGATTCGTTAAGCCTCCTAATTTCACCGAATGAGATCGTACATTAGAGTGGTCCTTAACAGAGGGATTAAAAGACATTTTTTTCAACATTTTCTCGGTATTCTTGCAATATGTTTTTCATCGACTTAAATTATGACTAGACTGTGGAAGTTCGCGCACGACAAATACGCGAAGTATGCGAAGTACGTGGATCTATGTATAGAAAAACGTAGTATAATTAGTAGACTGCGGACTTTTAGGCAAAATAAAAGTCAGGTAGACAATTTTTATTTTGCATAAAGATTCATAGTCTAGCCATAATTTATGTAGAGTAAGACTAGAGAAAATGGGGAGTCGAAAAATAAGAACCACCCTATTGTGCATCCTGAAATGCTGTACCGGGTGAGAGGCATGCTGTGAAACTGTGAGAGGTAATTGGGGGTTGCTAATCGATAGAGCAAATCTAGGTAATATGGAACGTCGGAAAATCTCGATAGAGAAGCGAAGAATTATAAAGATGATCGAGAAGTTAGTTGCCTGGTAAGAGAACAGTGCAACAAAGCTAATCACTAGACAGCCGATGTTACGAATTTATTGCAAAAATTGATAAAAGAAAGAATTTTGGAAGAGAAAAAAGTTGGAACAATTTAAGAATACTGTTACATTATTTTCGATTGATTTAAACAATTAATTTTTATGTAGCTCCAGTTTCATACAATTGCCGAACAAAATGTTCATTTTGCAATAAGATCCGCTGTCTACGAATCGCGTGTGTCAGAAAAATTGCTTCGGATTTACGGTTGAAATGGCCACGAGTGCAGAAGATTAAATGTTACCCGCTCAATTTCGACAGAGATGCATAAAACCCATAGTCTAATAATTACAAAATACCAAATACTTGGTTAAGTTATTGTGCACTTTGTAAACAAAGTTTTCAATGAATTTTCTACCGTTGATCATCAATTTTATAAGTACTTTTCAAAGGATCATTAGAAAACAGCTGGTAGATAAAATGTTACAAACAATGGAAAGCGGGACAAATGTGTGTTACAACGTAACAGAATGTATCATTGGAATGATGTATGCAAATTAGTGCACCTATGGCCTCAATTGTGCATGCTAGATTCCAGAAGACAATAGAGAATTATGTCGATGGTTGTGCGTCACTCGGGCATTCGTTATCGAGAAATTAATTATTTATATCTTGTGCTGCACTAAAGTTTTCGAGAAGTAAATTTAACTTTACCGCGAACCGTTCAAGTTACTGTCTTCTTAAAAAATATCTAATCGAAATTTGTTAGTTATCGTACTGTAATGTTGAATTTCATGCAACAGAAGGCGTTCCATATTGCCAACGTTTAGCCTATAGGAAACGGCGGCTAGACGCATGAATTATCTGGGGGACTGTGAGTGATAAACTGCAGGTTACTTATGCATTTCTAACGGGTCAGGTATTCAGGGTACTGGCAGTTGCATCTGTTTTTAATCAGCGATGCATGGATGATTGATTTCTATGATCGTATGTTTGCGAGCTAGTTCTTCGACGTGTTTCGAACAATTCTAGTTGAAAAACTTCATTCCATGCTAAGTCTAAGCGTTCAACGGTGTTTTATTGTACCAATCTATTTGGCATGTCGGTACAGGATGTTTAACAAATCTTTATTGAATTTTAATCATTGCTATTCCGTCCAATCGTTTTCATTATTATTTCTTGTTCATATAACTTTTTACTTATTTATTTGAACGACATCAGTTTATGCAGAGAAAAATTATTAGAATATCTTAAGTATGTCGTTATAGTTCACCAAAACTACTATCATATAACTTTGTAACATAGAAGTTAACTTTGCAACAGAAGTTATTTATGACTCTATCAAATAGAACATCGTTTAAATTACGATGAGATTTATTTTAATGATCGATAGCGATTTTTAATGTATGAATAGGAATTTTGCGGATCTTTATGCGTTCATTGCACGCGTAAATTTGTAAAGTTTAAAGAAACGTGTACATCTCGACAACTACCTGATGCAATTTTTATTCCGTTTATGTTTCGAGTAATCTTCAAGACTGAAAAGAACCGATAATGAGAATTTGCATAAAGATACGCAGTCTACTAGATTTCTAGAAAGTGTTACTATCGAGCTCTATTAATATTTATTAAAACAGGGTGCTAAAACTGTGTGTTGTTACAAGTACGGCATACATCGAAATAGTTCTGTGCTATGCGACAATCCGGCGGAGTGACTAAGTATTATAAATATACATAGTATTCATCGACTTCATCAGATCGTTAAATAATAAGATAAAACATTTGGTTGGTATACATGTTATTTACAAGCTATAATTAAAAACGATTTGTCACCATCACGAAGCAATTTATACCCGAAAAGATTGGCGACTTCAATTAACTCTTAATTAACAAACCGATAAACGCATGTTGATTGCTGGCTAACGAAAAGATAAATTAATTTTCGAATACATAATTAATTTGTAATTGCACCGATTAAACTGTGATTAGTGAACTCGGTTACTTCGTTCTCGAAAGTATGTTCAAAATGATAATGCTTTCTTTGCTTTCTTTATTCGCAATTGGTCACTGAATGTTGAGCAAAACAAATCGATGAATAAACATTTTCGGTCTACTGTTCGTTCAACGCCTATCGACGAATTAATTACCATTAGGTTTGCGGAGTATTAGAAGCAATTATTTTATATTACTTTATAAAAATAACAATAATATATTTATTCGGATTTTTATTGTAATATTAGTTCCAATTTAAATCGATTCAATAAACTTCTCATCAATGTATCTCTACGGTATGAACAATCATAAATATTAACAAATTTTCAACCCGCCATTTTGACGCGTTTCATAAACTTAGTGTCAACCACCACGAAAATATTGAAGATTATTAAATGATCGCGTCGAGATGCTTCTTTTTAAATGACCCAACGATGCTCTACGATAAATTGTTTCACTTGTTTGATTAACCATTGGAAAGGGAACACCAGAATGTTCCATTCGCACTTCGAGAATAGCGGGGGATGTTCAGGATGCAAGTTGAATGAGTGCAACAAGAGGGTATTATACAAAGAGGATTGTCTTCCGTGCTCATTTCTCTCCGAGTTATCTGGGTCATCGATGCTCTCTTTTCTTTGTTTTTTTCAGTCGTCGAGGATATTTTTAACTCCCGTGTAGTCTAGCTCGCCTTAAAACGAATTCTACGATGCTCTAGTTAATGATGATATCAGTTAATTAATTAAAAACTGAACATCATTTTCCTAATTAACCGTTTCTCATTTTACAGGTCCATTGGATTCAGCATTCACGTCGAATCCATGTTCTCAATGTATGTGAACAATACGTATGTATAACTATTTTTTGCATTTCCATGTTTATCCCAGAAACCGTATAATCTAAAGACTTTTCATTTTAGTCCGAATTTAGTGCACGTAAACATACTTCTTATTTAACAAGCATGAAATTGATGTTAATTAACTATTTAGCTGGCACTCTTTTTTGCAATCTTACTTGATAAAAAATCTAATTTGTAGATAATTATTGATTTTTGTGTTCTTCTATTTTACATACAATTTACAAAGGTCCAGTGAAAGGATTGATGCAAATTCATTAAGGGGCTGCAAAAAAATCCAATACACATGCGCTTCGTTAGGATAAGATCAATAGATACAAATGCATGGGTAAAGTGACAGAGAGGTTGCTAACAAGGTCAAATGTTAGAAGAAGCTCACAGTTTTCCATTTCACGATTTCCCACATACATATCTACAGCCCTGCAATAAACGATCATCGTAAATAATATCATGTTTTAGCCGGACATACTAAATGAATATAAACGAATATAAATGAATACGAATGACCTAGTGAATACGATATATAAAACAGTAACATAAGAATAAATGAAGTTGTGAATATAATAGAAATATGTATTTAAAATAGTAAGAAGAATTTTAGTTAAAAAGCTGTAAGCATTACATGGAGTTAATTAAGTCGAAGATGCAAAATAAGTTTTTCTCTGAAGCTTTTTAATCGGCGCAACATTCATCGAATCAGTATGCATAGTTACTCTAGTTACTATGTGCGTTTATCTTCATACTAAATAAAGACTTGTAGTCTAATCCACCTAGGCAATAGCATTATTCACTTAATCAATAATATTATAGTCGTGGTGAATAAAACGTTCGTTTTATCGATCATGTAATTGTGGTGTCGTATAAATTAGTGTTTTATGGCTAAAAATACATATTTAGTATGCAAATATTCCATAAAATAATATTCCAAATATTATATAAAATTGTATAATATTGTAGAATATTGCATATATTATATATATTATATAAAATTGTATAATATTGTATACATTATAAATAAATACTGTATAATGTATTGTTCAAGTAGCAACAGATTTGGCACACTTTTCAAAGAAGTTTCCATATTATTATCATATACCAGTTTATCTGAATTAGCTTCTGAACATTTGCAACCCCATGAAAATTCACAAGCCACCGATTAATTACCATAACCTGCAGAAAGCAATCGGTGAACTTAAAATTCTACTCGTCAATTTATCATGTGGATTGTGCGACAGAATTATGGTGTCTCCATAAAAATTCGCTGTTAGAATGCGGATGTTCACGAAAATTTCACACTTTCTTCAAACAAATTCCAACAGAGTATCTCGAAAAATCTTTCGTCCGTAAAAATTTCATAAAATCCGCACTCTATTCGCGTTTTCTCTGAACCAGGCGTCGGCAACCATTTTTGACTGCGGGTCAAAATCAACCAAAATGTGTATTTTTATTTTAGAACAGTCTTTTAGCGAGTAATAAAGATAAATTTTGTCAAGAAATTAATTACAATACGGTCTCGAACTTTAAACAGAAATATACGAAATTCTAATCCTAATTATTACGAAAACAAATACAATTGTCAAATTATCACCCGTCAAGCATGTTGCCGA